ACGAATTATAGTCTTTAATAAAAACAACAGGAAAATTTAAACACTTATAATTAACTAAAACTTACTGTTTGAAAATTTAATGTTATATTTAGCTCCATATCCAAGTACAGATTTGTGTAAAAATACTCCAGTAGTTGAGATCATGAGTCATTTGAGGCTGGACCAGTATGGAGGAGGTGAACGGCCGTTTCTCCCTAGTATGAGACTCCTCATCAGTGCACATCCACGATCCCGCCTCATAAGATTCCAATCCACCACCTATCAGTCTCGCGTGCCAACACTTAACTTCTTTACCATTGTTTGTTATAAGTAGTTGGATGCGTGCTATTCTGTTTACAGTTTGATGCTCTGTAGATGATTAATTTTGTACATGAAGGTGTCTGATTATCATTAGATATCACATGAAACATACATTCAATCATTATGATTAAATCATTATCATGAAGTGTTTGTTTACCATAGAACATGTATGTGTAAACTGATAACAAAGAAAGTCTTTGAAAAAAATATTTTTGTTTAACTTCGTAACTGAAATGATATATTGATAACATATGCATGGTATTCTATATATAAAGTATTAGAACTTATTTTTTAAAACCGAATATTACAATCTTAACTTAGCATCATTTTCTCGGTCACGAGATTAATAACACTAACATTGAAAAAAAAGGTAAATAAGACCTACACTGTTTACTTTCAAACGTTTTACACAGAAATATTCAGAGGAATCGTTCACGTCTATTTTAAAACTAAGTCTCATAAGAAGAGCTTAGATCCAGCGAAATAAGCATGCACAATTTTAACCAACTGTACTAAATATTTGCCTCCCAGTTTTTTTCATATTTGTGATAAAGTAATATACTCAAATGATGTTAAACTCATGATTTTCTGTTATATATATGTTGCCAATAATTTATTTACAGTTGTTTGGTAATTTATCTCAACTAGTATCACATTGCTTGTTTCAGTCCAACACGTTTTGTTCATGAACCAACCTAAACAAGACAGCCGTCGACCACAAGAAGCGCTAAACAGCCGTTTAATCCCATTATAGGATTCTTCATCAGTAACCATTCAATCGACTGCCAGTTACAGTATTCGCTTATGCATCATCGACCAGCGCTTTATAAACATCATATTTTTGACATGTCTGTTAAGAGTTCATGTTTCTCTGCATTAGAGTTATTGAATTAAAGATTGAATGCTATACAAACGAGGTATGAAACAGAACTCGAAACTTTGATCTAATGAGTTGAAAAATATATATGGACATCAGCTTTACTTGTTTTTCGGAAGATTTCTGGTAACCAAATAATGCTGCTTTATACTTTATGATTTCTGCAAACGAGAGCGGACTGTTTAGAACCTTTACGTGTATCATAGTTTGACTATTAAAACTAATTTGTGAACAGTAAATGTTTAACAAATAAATTTAACTGATCTGTTAAGCGAATTCGTTTTTAAGCATGAACAATTAAATATTTTGCATACTGAAACTTTGATTCAGTGAGAAGTACGTCGATTCATAGATAAAAGTCTGGATCTTTCACGAAATTTTAAGGTCACATGTATAACAAGTGACTTAAATTGATTTGATCATCTTTTTTCCAGATAGACCATATTACTCGAAATAGTTATCTAGTAACACAACTATAAAGAAAAGTGTAATTATTATTAGAATGGGGATTTGTGGAGATTGTAGTGATTTTAATAGTTAAATTTACGAGTCAACTCATCTTAACTATTAAAAAGTGTAATTATAGTCAATGAGAATAACTATGAATCAGTGACTACTGCACGGTTATTTCGATGTTTTATTTATTTATTCTAAACATTTTAGGTGCTTTCCTAATTCCCTACTTTATTGTGATGATTTGCAGTGCAACACCAATATTCTATTTAGAATTGATTTTAGGCCACAAACATCGTCGTGGAGCTATTTCTCTTTGGGATATATGTCGTATGATTGATTTAAATTATTTGATGAGGAGAGCTTCGATGAAGTGAAAACCATTTTGACTAGTTTATTTACCGATTATTGATCCTAAGGATCTGGAAATAACAACTTGTCAACTTCCATCTCTTCGAAGTCAGTTTCAGTTGAATATAATCTGTTATCGGAACCACAGACTTCATTTCCTTGATTTTATTAGTAGGTGGTGATCTGAAGCTATGTAGGCTCCTCTCCTGCTTCTCACATCTTCCATTGTTCTTCGGAACATTTTATTGATGCAAATATGATCTATCTGGTTCTCTGTGGTGCAATCCGATGAGATCCATGTAGCTTTGTGTATACGTTTGTGTGGAAATATTGTGCTGCCTATGACCAATTTGTTGAATGCACATAGATTTGCAAATCTTTCCTCATTTTCGTTTCTCTCTACCAGTCGTCCCATGATATCTTCATATCGAGTGTTGTCTAGTCCGACTTTGGCGTTAAGATCACCCATCAGAATGGTGTGGTAAAACTGATCTTTGTCGTCGTCATTGCTATCATTGGTGGGTGCATAACATTCATTGCGATTTCCTCCTTTTTTGTGTTTGAATGACACTTTGATGATTCTGGATCCGTGAGATTCCCATCCTACAAGTGCGTTTCGTGCTATTTTGGACAGCATTAGAACAACTCCCTGAGGGTGTGGAGCATTTTCCTATTCGTGACCGGAGTATAGCAGCGCCTTTCCCGTATCTAGCCTTTGCTAACCAGCTTGAATCCAATGGGTTTCGCTGATTCCTAGTACTGCCAATTCGTATCTCTTCATTTCCGTTGCTATTTGACTGGTCTTCCCGGTCTCCCATATTGTCTGGACGTTCCATGTACCTAAATAAATGGTTGATCTGGTTGTTAGAAGTTGCATCGGCCCCGTGACTTACGAAGGAACTCGGCTTTCACCATGAGGCGTCATAGTTGTTTTTAATGAAGACCTTCTGACTCCCAGGGCTGAGTTTAAGTGGTTTGAACTATGATTTTTTTGGTTAGCGTTTCTCCAGAGTTAGTTTTGTACGGGATGTGGTCGCTAACCCCATCCAAAACTCTCCTGCTTTACCCGGGCTTGGGACCCACAGAATCTTTAGAAGAGCTACAGGCAGAGTTGAGTGTTCAGTACGGGATTATTTTTTAAAAATCTCAATACATTAGTCTGGTCAAGTTGCGAATTTTTAAATTATCTCAATAAAATTCACAAATTCACCAGTGGTATATAGATAGTAGAGTGTAAATGACTTTATCAGAGTAAATGAGATGAGTTTGTCTGTAGGTATTTTCTTCACCGAGCTGAATGGTTTAAACGCGAGGCTTTCATTGTTTTTCTCCATAACATCATCAGGATTTGCTTCATTATATCGTGATTTGAGTTTTGTTAGGAACAATAAAGTTTTTCTGTAGTTCCGAAATTATATTGTTCAGCAAAATTAAATAGAAAATAATAATCATATTTCCGTAAGTCACTGAATTAGAGACAACATTCTATAATTCTGATGAGAAGTTCCAAGTGATGGATTTAAAGCGTATCTAATCTGAGGAAGATTTATCAATAACGATGAATGGTTGTTGTTTTGGTTATAAATCGACAACATTTAAGAATGTAGGCCAAAGGCTTCCAACTCAGCAGTCTAAGTCGGTTTATGGGACTTGTAGAAATTGTTGAATTTTATAGTTTGCTTCACGGGAATACCTTGTTTAAGTAACAATTGAAAATCAGGAAGGAGTGGAAAGTTGCTTCGTCCTAAAATTAGACATCTCAGCGACTCACTATTTGAACTTTGCATGAGATCAAACAAATGGATCTCAAATCTCACAGTAAAAGCTTGAAAATAAGACCATTGTGTTGGCAATCACTGATTCGTATGTTTAACTCCAACCCAATACCATTAGTGCGTAACTGCCACATATCCAACAATATTGAACTTTAATAGTCGTGAGTACTCGTTAGTCAAAAGTCAACTCTTTAAATTCCACCATTGGCAGTATCAAGAATGTGTGTTCCGAACATATCAGTGCTAAGAACAAGCAGTAATCTCGCGCTTCAGGATTTTCAACAGTTTGTCAGCTAAATTCAGTCCATGACGAAAATTCTCCTTAGAAGCTTGCTCTGAATTCAAAGCCCCAAATACCCTGGTACGGTCGATGGTGGAGAGAATCCTCTCTCGAAATGCTCTCACATGGCCTCGCGTATACAGCTACCGACAAGTAAGTCCTACTCACTGCCATCTTGACGTGTATCCCTATCCTTCCGAACTCTTGAGGATCTGTTTAGCCGAACAGCACATAGGCGACTGTCGATAGGGATCCATTCTAAAAGGGCTTCTTCTGACCTCATACTTAGTGCTATGCGTTTACCCGACAGTGCACGAGAACTTGCTGCCTAGTCACCAGATAAACGAAGTGTATATCTTGTCGGCTCTCCGTTTTGGTTAGAATGAACACATTAGGATCCTGTGTGTTTCGGGGACTTAACAAGTCTCTTTATAAATCAAACAAATTCTACCAAAACCTGTCTTAATATTTTTCACATCAAAAAATAAATTGATTAGAAATGTAGTTAAAAACACCACGAATGTGCATTACCTATGGACGTCGTGTGATATGAGCGTGTGAATTGCAAACGTTAAATAGTAGTACATGAGGTTTGACTTAAGCATGAAATCTAGAACCAGTCTGAGAGGTTCTAGTAATAACATCTCCATTTAAAGTGATACAAAGAACTAAGTTCATTCTCAAGAGCATTGTGTTAGTACTAGATTGACATGGAAAAATGATGGAACTGATACTAACTGAGATTTAACTAGGTATCGGTCCCAACAAAAAAAGAACTAAATATAAGTGACGTTGTGGAAGCTGAGAAAATTCTGCTAATGAGGTACATTGACAACACACACATATATAACCTCATAATACTTTTTTTATTTGTATCAAATGTAAACTGTACATTATGATTTTAGTAAATTACAGTAATACAATTGTCAACCATTGACAATTATACATAAAGCAATGTAGATTCGTTGATTTTAAAAAAGTTTAGTGGGAAATTTAAGAAAAGAACTTGAAGACAAACAGTTAGTTAGAGAACGATAAGGAAATTAAGATTTAAAGATTAAAATTCTTTTGGTGGAATCAACACATCAAGAGCAGTGTTTGTGCGTCTTTTCGATAATTTCTTTTTTGTTACTAAAGCTTCACTAGGTCTCGGTAATGTGCTTATATCATTGAATTTTTTGTAAGAAATTTTTCGTCGTAACTTCTCTTCCGCTTCCCGTACACCTAAAACTTCTTTGATAGTAAACATTTTACGTTCAAAGTGTATATTTTGCTTTTTTGCCTCGATTCGGCCAGGTTTTGATCTACCTTTTTGTTTATTTCGTTTAATAGCAGGTGTATCGACTTTGGGAACTTGTCCAAGCTAAAATTGACAGTAAAAGATTATATATATCAGTGAATTATAATCATAGTGATCAAGAAGCCTGATAAGTTTTGATGGAAGTGAAAATGATAATAGGCATACAAGTTTTACTATAAACTAGTAAATTCTAACGCTTCTTAAACCAGTTGGATTTTAAAATAACTTCGAATTTGATTCCTAGAAACCAACGATTACAAACTTCAGTATGTCTGACAGCAAAAGAACTATGAGCATGGACAACTGATACGTGTCCATGTTGAATTGATTTCTCCCACTACAATTTGGTTGTTCATTATTTAATTTATTTGTGTCAACAGAAAGATAAACACTTGCTTATTGAATGGAGACTATGATAGAAGACAATTCACTCTGTAATTCGTTATTCGTGTGATAAATTGACTTTAAAAGTAGGAGAAATGAGTTGTCTGTCAAATGTCGCTAAAGCGTTGTTTAATTATGGTGAAACCATTGAATAAATGATGCCGATAGTCAGTGTAGAATACTAGGTGTAAGCCTTTATCGATTAAAGTGGGTAGGAAACATGTTAAACGAGCGTAATCACCACTTATCACAGTGCACAATGTCAGCTGGGAAAGCAGTAAATTAGGACAGAAATAATAAAAACATATTATAACTAATATAACTGACAATTTACCATCATAATAGAACGCTAAAATCTACGAAAGTGAAAATTGCTATACATTTTTTTAGTTACCAACGTAACATTCTCGATCAAATAAATAAATAAAAGCAATTAAAATAAAGCCGATTAACTTACTAATACAGCTTTCTTCTTTTCCCATTCTTCTAAAATGTCTTCACGACGAACTTCACCAACGATTGATTTTAATGAAATCATTGTATATGGAATCTGTTTGTAATAGTACAGTAAGTAGTTTTTTTAATGATTCTATTAGGTGAAACACATGTGAGTCTGTGAAAAGTTATACTCAATGATTGTTTCACTGATTAAGATACTATCCTGCTTTTAAAAAAAAACTTTTATTGACTATTTATAGGGATTGGTGTAGTGTTACGATAAGATTAGTTACATGTTATATTGTTTTACATTGGTGTAAGCTTTGAAATTTTAACCAAGATGTCATTAGTTAAAATTAAGCTGATGATCATTCGATTGACGTCACCATTTTGAATCATCAACTTCGGTGCCTTGAACATGTACTACAAATGTCGTCCCAGTGAATTACACGTCAGGCATTATATGCCGACGCTGAAACTGGTTAGAAAAAGAGCAGAGGTAGTCAGTAGTATGAAAGAAAGCTGTACAGGATTGATATCTGTCGGTTCTTCAAGACTCCCTAATTGAGGTCATACAGTGCGACACAGTGGTTTGAGATATTATCAAATATTACTTAGAATAAAGGCTAGTGGTAGTCCTGCTGTAATTTTCTTCTATTCCCTCCATGTAAGTGACGGGAACTTCTATAACCGAAAGAATCCTACCTGGTTATACTTCTCTTAACTGAACTGCTTCTCCCCTTATTATTATTATTTCACTCCCATACACTAATTTCTATTTATTTTCTTTTCTTCCCCATTACATTCACCTTCCTTTTTCTAACTCAACACAATCTAATTTTTATCGTGGTGCATTTGTATTTTGGTGTTCCTATGTGCCCATGTTTATGCGCTCAAATAAAATAAAAACGTTTTTTATGTAATATCTAGATATTAAATGGTAGTTCCCAAACCTGTGCCTACTTGTGGAGTATGTAAACAGTTCAATTAGTATCATCATGTTGTGGAAATTCCTACCAAACTTACTCAGAAATATTTATTCTACCAAAGTTAGTCTATAAATCTAATTACTCTACGGATATTAACCTCATATTTGAAACCAGTTTATGATTTAATATGATAATAGCTTCCACAACAATACGGATTAGATTGTAAGGTACCAAAAAAACAAGTAGAAGCATATTAGCCTTATCTATGATTAGATAGCAATATACCCAGAATAAACCAATCATCAATAATTTGGAAATATAAAAATCATTAGGACCTTTGTTAATTAGTCCTTGGATTCTTTTAAGTTATTTGTATTGCATCGGTTTACAGTAACCAAATTCCTTACACGAAATGTAAAGAATTTTTACTTGGTAATCCCTACATTTACTATCATTACTATTATTTAAATGCTTGTTTTCGATATTCCGATATGCAATCACTTCTTTTTTGGATTTTATGGTAACATATCTTTATTACACACGAACACATTCATTAGCAATTTACACACAATTGAATTAAAAAAGAAATGATAGGAATAAGAAAGCTCATATAAATTATATTAGTATAGAATAATTAAGTCGAAGAATTTTACCTCCTTGTGTTTTTCTTTAGTAGGACACTTTAGGGGTCAGTGTAATATAATAGGACTATAATTTACTAGAACAATAATAAAATACGCTTATGTCCTACTAACGTTGGTAGATTTAATAAACAATAGTACTCGATGAAGTTCAATCTCCTGGTAGAAGACGAAATAGGTGGTCGTTGAATTAGTGATACCTCACTAACTCTTCTGGAATCTAAGTACTATTTCACATTTGGCAGATTCTGAATATCTTACCAGAAAGAATTTTAGATTTAGTAGGTTTCTTCGGCAGATAGTTGATAAGGTAATCCTGTGGATTTTCAACTAATGAATACTCTCAAGTTGCTCGTAACCCTCTGTTAACATTGCTTTGTGTTGGTAAGTATGTATTCACAGAATTTATTTAATTCAATGGAACCAAACATATTTACAACTAAAGTCTAACTGAATTAAAATTCCAAAACCAGTTTTTTTAATATTAAGAAATTACATTGAAACAAAGTTCATGAACACACATATATGAGGAATATACTTGAGAAAAACATAGAACTATTAACGAAACTAACAAGTAGATATGAAAACACGTGAACAATATTACCTTATCCAAAAGTCGTTTAACTTCCCTTTCTTGCCTATAACGTTTATTGGCAAAAGGATTTTCTTCTAAACCATCATAATTAGGTTCTGCGCTCCCAGGACAAAGAATGGATGAAATCCCAGCGGAACTACCTACTCCTAAAACGTCTTCATAAGGACAAAATCGTACACGATAAACTGGATGAACCGCATAGTGAGAAAGATAAGCATTCGAAATTACTCGTCGGTTAACATTAGGTGAAATGGCTTCAAAGATTTTTGATGCATTGGACGGTGGAATGGAATGGGGGTCACGTAAAATCTTTTAAAAATAAAAAGCGATTTACGCAGAAATTAGACAAAAGTACGTGTATACTACCTAAGATTCACAAAGATAGATCCTTATTTTATAGATCATAATACTTCCTCACAGGCAATACTGAAATCATCGTGGGTTTATGTGAAATGGGGAATAAAATAAAACACAACCATTTACTCACGGTAAATATTACTAAGGGTAACTTAATTTTATGATAACAGTAGATTTATTCCTCTTTTCAAAGCACTACTTTGGCCATATATCAAATCGTAACAATAAATATTTTGTCTTTTGTCACGGCTATTATTATTCAAAGTGGGAAGAACTTTTCTTAATAACAGGCAATCACAAACTAGATATACGGTCGTTAGTCATTAGTTCCAGTTTTATACTCTCCTTCATATAGACAAAAGGAACAACTTCAGGAAATTAAAAATAAAAACGAGCCCGAGATTTAAACAAAAGCTTAATCCACGTACCTGCATCAATACCCAAAAGAGTTCCAACTGCATGCCATAATTATCTCGTGAACTTTACTTAACGACTCCGCACATCCCGACTACGTTAGGATCTAAAGTCATAACCTCATAAACTGATATTATTTCATGGGCTGTTTGCTCCTACATGGTTCCGGTTTACGTGAGCAATGATTCTAAGACATGTATAACCAAAATAATTACAACCTACACAAGTTTTATAACTTCGAAGTAACAAAAGGTAGACATGTGTGGTGTTCAATGCCCACTACTTGCTTACTCTCTTCTGTTTGACTGGGAAATGATACCGTATAATCCAGATGCGACCTTAATTTTTGGAAGGGGAGGATCGCAACCTACAAACTACTGTGCTGTCACACAGTGCTTTGTTCAGATTATATTTCATCAGTTTTTACCAGGCAAGGAGATGTCTTCATACAAGGTTCTAGGTAAGAGAGCGATCAGGAGAAGAAATTGTTATCCCCAAGAGTATAACCATGACAAATGGATGAAAACAAGGAAAGTAGGCATTTTGCAGTATGGTATGGTATATGGAGAAACAACCACTTGATGCGATAAGTTAAGTGCTAAACTAAATCATAACCAGAAATATCATACCTGTACGGTATTAGCAGCACCCAATGCTAATAAACCTTTCTGACTGAAATTAATTGTTGAAGCAGACATAGGCAGCAAGATTTCGGAAAGAGGATCATAAGTGGATCTCAAGTCCCAAATCTTTAGTTTTCGGTCAACTCCACAGGTTGCCAAGTAGCTGGAAAGATGGATGTGAAGAAAGAATAAGCTATGAGCAAATACATCGTTCAAATAGTGAGAAAAATGTAGTTTAGAGGAACACCGGTTGTTGAAATACTTTGTAGAAAAACGGTAATTCATAACCAGTCAATTTTAAACTAAACGAAAGTGATTTGGCTAAGGCTAAGCGAGTGGTTTCACCAATCTAACTTTTAATCAAAGACTGTTCAAACAAAGCTTGAACAAGAAACGTAGGATTCATAGCGGTTTCTAGATCAGCATAAAAATAAAAAACGCACTACGGATCTCCATAGCTGAGAAAAATAGTATTATTCCATTGAATTCCTCTACCACTAGCACTAACGATGGTAAATTAGAAAGATAAGCTTGATACGAAAACGCTAATCGGGGTGATATGCCATTCGGAATAAAATCAACCGATCTCTGCAACACAATTGTTTCAAATTTTACCTTCAGAAAAGGTAACTCTGCTACACATTACAACATACATAGCTTTTGACAATAACCGCAATGTGTAAGGATAATTACTACAATAAGTTAGGTAACCAAAAATTGATCTTCATCATAAGCGGTACCCATAAAACACCCTGTGTTTTGGACTGGTCAGGTGTTAAGACTGAGATTATCTAAATTCATCCACAAAACAATCAACCAAACCTAAAAGACAAATGCCAATATTATGCTTTACTGTTGAAAACTTGATCGTTTATTAAGATTATGTGGTATTTGTACGAACTAATGATTCCTTTGTACTTGACGGCCAGCTGATTACGAATTCTAAATACAATACGTTATTTGTGCTCATCTATTCCTACTTGCTGTAAATTGCAGTAAGGTGTTTCCCTTGGGCAACCAGCATCTGCAGCGATGCTGTCTTCTCACAAGGATTATTTATTTCAACACATAGATAATGGTACAAAGAGGCACCAAATACATATGCGCCACACAAATCTCATCCGATATGTGTGAGGGCTGTGATACTGCCCGGGTGCCCAAACCGAAGCATCAGAAAAGGAGAGACGGTTGGCAGTCCCCTGCACAAGGTCTCACAAGGAAGGAAGGGGTTAAAAAAGGTCGACCCTAAATATGTCACACCTCACCTTACTTCATGGATTTCCGTCTCCGCTGGAAGGCCTTTTGAAGAATGGAGCTAACACGCTAAAAATTTCCCACAAAAAGGCCGTGAGTGACCGGCCTCGAGCAGTTGTCCCTTGGGCTCTGTGGTCACGCTCCCAGGTCGTTAAGACCAGCACTAATCCAACTTCCCTTTAAGGTGGTTCCTTAAGGAGTACCCTTCTACGGTGTGGGCAGCCGGGAAGTGACATGAGCCCTCATACCCCTAACAGCAGACGAGGCTAAGTTGGTCACAATCAAATACTTCCTACACCTCCTAATAACTCTATCATCTCCACCACTAACCCTTCTCACGTTACTTTATCATCCCGCACCGCTAGTGAAAACGATTCGAGTACGCGGAACGTTATTCCTGGTCTCCTGAAACTACGTCCTAAACTACATGTAGGAGCTTTTAAAGTCCGAACACTGTGCCAAATAGGACAACAGGCTTCCTTAGCTAGGATTTTAAAATCTCGCGCCATCAATGTGTACTGCGTCTCCGTAACGCTTATACAGAATCAGAGTAGCGTCGTTCATTTAACCTCACCATATCAAAATAAAGAACCATCTCGACTCACACTTCGTGTATCTCGAATCCCCGATGCTGCTTCCCGTGGCCTCGGTGGCGTAGGTATAGCATTGAGTCCTAGGGTAGAACTAGCTCTCTTAGACTGGATCTCAGTAGACAGTCGTTTATGCACTGTCCGACTAAACGGAACAGTTAGGACTCGGAAAAGTTTGGACACTCGTTGTCTCTGCCTACTCTCCCACTAACTGCAGCTCAGATGATGTAAAAGATGAGCTTTACAGAAAGCTTTCCGACCTCCAAAAAGTTAGGCGCTCCGATGCAGTAATAATGGCTGGTGACTTTAACGCTCAAGTAGGTAAACTAAGCGAAAAGGAAAGACACCTGGGTGAACCTTATAGTGTCGTGGCTCAAAGAACAGATAATGGCGACCGTCTGTTGCAGCTATGCTCAGATAACCGCCTCTTTCTTGCAAATACAAGCTATTAACATAAAGAAAAACACCTTTATGCATGGCAACCCCTGATCACATCGCTATCAGACACCGATGGAGGAGCTCGATAGAAGACTGTCGGACGTTCTCGAACACATGATTGGATTCAGATCATGTTCTAGTGCGAGCGCGTATTTGTCTGCGTCTTACTGAACGTAGGAAAGACACTACAAGGAAACCTCTTAGGGTCCTACTTAATGATAGCCAAGCTAGGAATATATTTCAGGAACAACTAGAAAACGTTAGGCAGCCATGTAAGTGATGCCCATCCCGAGGCAGCGTGGAATGATATCCGGAAAGCTGTGGAAACAACAGTGATATCTGCTAGTACGGTAAACCACAAGGTTAGGGAGAAACACGGGATCTCAGCAGCATCCACCGCACTGATAGATGCTCGAAAACTCGTCCCATCTGGTTCTGAACATGACGAAGAGCGTTGTCAGCTTAAGCGTAAGCTGATAAGAAGCCTACACAATGATCGCGAACAGTGGTGGGCAATAAACTACAGCTGACAACTATTCAGAATTGTCAAGGAAACCGGTGTTAAGAATCCAACTGTTAGCGAAACTATCTTGGAAAAAGATGGACATATTATTCACTCTCAATCCAGGAGACCGGATCGATGGGCAGAACGTTTTAGGGATCAGTTCAACTGGCCTTCAGCCACATTTCAGTTCCCCAAGATCTTCAGTCGACCTAAATGGCGAGTTCTCGAACTGTTTACGAAGTTTAAAAAACTATAGGATATCTGAAGCGTGGGAGAGCAGCAGGCCCTGACAGGTTTATCCCTGAGATTTATAAGGATGGAGGTCCAGCATTGGCAGTGAGATTGACTGAACACATAAATATTGGTACAAAGGGACACTATATATATATATATATATATATATATATATATATATATATATATATATATATATATATATATATATATATATATATGCGCCACATCATATTAATAATGAGAATGTGAAGATATAACGAATGTAAGGTGCGTATAAGAAAAAGGGGAATACTAACGAATAGGAACTAGTGCATGAGAGTGAAATAATAATAATAATAATAATAATAATGTGAGAGACAATTCAATCAGTAAAAGTACAGTCACAGAGAATTCTGCCACTTAAAAAAGATACGTATTTTTTTATGAAAGAAGTAAATAAAGTTACAGCATGATCGCCACTGGCTTCCATTCTGAGCCATATTTGATAACGCCTCTAACCACTGCGTTGCACCATCTTTAAGTCCCCACGAGAGGGTCGTGAAGGACCAATAGAAGCCAGCCCTGTACCGCTTTCTTTCATACCGCGACAACATACACTGACCACCTCTCCGCTTTTTACAACCAGTCCCAGCGTCGGCAAATAATGCACGACGTGGGATTCTCTGGGACGACATTCGTAGAACATGTCCGAGCCACCGCAGTCGATATTTCAAGATGGTGACACCAACTGAATTATCGTCTCTGTTCCCGAACACACGATGCCGAACCCCTGAATTACTAACATGATGCTACCACTGGATGTCAGCAATCCTTCGGAGACAATGATGATTAAACACAGAGTCGTCTAACATCCTCAACTCGCCAGCATAGAGCAAAACCGCTCTCTCATCACTCATGCCACCACCAGCACTTATGCAGCTACCCAAATACACGGACTTCTCGACTACTTCTATATGCTCACTACCCAGAGTGAGTGCAGTATCAGGGTCCTACCAGTCTTGCAAAAGTACTTTCCACTTAGAAGGTGCAAAGCACATACCATACCTACGGACAATATCATCCGCATACTCAAGGTCGAGAAGTCTTTCTGCAGGCAACAGATCCACACAACCATTACTTACATCCATCAAAGCTGTTTCCAGAACGTCGTCGATAGCAAAGTTGAATATGAATGGTGAGATTGGCCAACCCTGCTTAGCCCCATTGACTGGATGGAACAATGGAGAGAGGTGGTTATGTGCCTTCACTCTGCCTGAGGTGTTTTTATATAGGGCTTTTAAGATGTTAATAAACTTCTCAGACACACACTTCTTCAATAGACAATCCCACAAAACAGTCCTGTCTAACGGATCGAAGGCAAACCTTATGTCAAGAAACACTACGACTGTTGACCTGTGATAAGTATGATGGTGTCCTAACATTTGGTGGAGGGTGAATATATGATCAATACATCCTCGACCAGAACGAAAACCAGCTTGCTTCTTGCTAGTCAATCTTTCTCGGGTTTTGAACAATCTACCAAGAATGACGGAAGTCAAAAGTTTGGACGCAATCGGAAGTAGACCTATCCCCCGATAGTTCTTGCATAGGTGATGTGAACCTTTTTTAAAGATAAGGACGATTATCGACTCATTCCATGACGTTGGTACACTGTCTAACTGCCAATCCTTTGTGAAAAACTCAGACAGTTCCTTAACTAGAATGTCACCATCATCTTTAGAAAGGGCCGGAGGTAAGTCATCTGGATCCAGTGATTTGTAGCGCTTCAAGAGTTGGAGTTCTTTGCGAACTCCCGCCTCATTTGATGGATCAGTCGTCACGGGCCATGGAGGACAGGACAGTGTGATCGATGTTACTGGGGCAGCAGACTATTTGAACTGCTCCTCGAAAAACTCTGCCCATCGTCCAAGACGTCATTTGATGTTATGTTAGTGACCGGCATCCCGTCATCTTCACAGATTGTTTCGCTCACACCAGACTTCGTGCTGCCAGTGGCTCATATGAGTTGAAAGAGCTTCCGGCGGTTACTAGGTGCGGTTTCTGCTTCCAACTAATTGGTGTGTTCCGACCACCAGGCTTCTCGGTCCTTACGCAAACTTTGCCTAATCTCATTACGTAACAGTCTTCGTTTATAGTCAAACCCGCGGTCACCCGGAGTAGACCGACGGGTTTCAATGATTTGCAAGTAGCCAGAAGAAACCCTGTGCTTATAAGCGAGACGTTTCGCGAAGCCGCATGCGACTTTACTCGCCATTTTCATGGCATCGTGCAATTGCAACCAATGCTTATCCATACTTTTCAGTGGGATTGGGCACTCCTGCTTCGGTTTGGGCACCCGGGCAGTATCACAGCCCTCACACATATTGGATGAGATTTGTGTGGTGCATATGTATTTGGTGCCTCTTTGTACCATTATCTATGTGTTGAAATAAATAAATAAATAGTGGGATTTTAGCTAGTCTTGAATCTGACTCGGTTTGATATTTAGTTGTAACAGGAGCTGCAACAAATTTACTTACATCAATCAGTTTAGGACGATGAATTTGTTGGCCACTGAAAAGCAAGGTAAGATTGGTGCAAACAAGTGCATGATCAGGGCCCAAATAGGTACTGCAGAAGGAGCGGCAGTCTTGTACACAATCACGCCAGCGGTAGCTGATCACGATGTGATCAATCTGAGTCCAGGCCTGAGATGCAGAGAGAGGGCTCCAGATGGCACATCGGCGATGACTGTGCGGAAGTTAGTGCTAGACGGAAACAGGTCGTAGTCTGAGCACAGTTGCAGTAGACGGTCTCCGTTATCTGACCTGCAACCAACAAGTCCCCATCGGCCACTTAAACGACTTACTTCGGTGCCTAGATGCCCGACCTGAGCATTCAAGTATCTGGCTAGTAATACAATATCTGTCGAATGCACTCTCTGTAGAACTAGAAATCGGACATTCGCTTTTCATCCTCTCGGTTTCGTAAGCAACAGTAATGTTACGAGAAGGCAGTCAGTTGGACTTCCCTGGCAGTAGTTGTATGCAAGTGACCATGTGAGAGCATTTCGAGAGGGAGAGCTGCTTCTTCCTACTCTCGGACGTACCAGGGTATTTAAAGGAACAGTTCGACACTCAAATTCTGGGACTTTTGAAAATTACATGGAAAGGTTTGAAATCTGGACTATGATCAGAAACGGTGTTAAGAATGATGAAGTTGCAGCTCATTTCCCTACATTTATCGGAAAGGATGCCTGCAGCTTACTAAAACTTTTGGCATTCTCAGATAAGCTTATTTCACTTCCCCACGCAACTCTCAAAGAGCTACTACTAAATTATGCAAATGGTACAAATTCCGAGTGTTGTGAAAGCAAAATTTAATAAGGTGATTCGACAGGACAACCAAGAAATTAGATTTATCCTTGAATTGGAAAAACAGGCTGCTGTAAATAGCACTATTTCGGAAATTCCTAGTTAGTACATTAGGTCGAATACTCCTAATTATTATAGCTTACCTTGACTCACATAACGCATCACTTTATACCTACTATCACGATTCAAGACAGTATATACCAAGATTACAAACTGCCCTCATACCAGCAATTATAATTATCAAGCGAACGAAACGTAATCAGCTTAGAATGAACTGAGAATAAAGTCCAGTCATATATATGAGGAAAGATTCAATTGGGTATGGATTCGAAATCTATCAAAAGTTGTGAATTTATCATAAAAGCTAACCTTCCAGTTTGGTCGCAAGCAATCGAAGTAATGGCAGTTGGGTGTGCGAACATTTTGATAACGTATGACTTCTCTGAAGGTACCCACATAGACACAACACCATCGTTGTGTCCTGTGCAAATAACTCCGTTAGAAGGGTTTTGACACATAACACCAAGGCGCCCCATATATGTAGGTATTGAAGCGACAATCGTACCAATAGAACAGTCTAGGTAATAAAGAAATCCATTGTCAGCCTGAAATAAAAGCTCCAGTGCAAAAACCTACGGAAGACACCAGAAGGAAATGATACGGGAGAAATTCCATTCGTAATATCCCATTCAGTTTTTTCAAGCAATGTACTTCTAAGCCCTGATTGTCATATATGGAAACATATCTTTTCTCTGCAACGGCAACGAACGTTTCTTGATGAAGAAACCTAAAAGGTTATCAATTAAATTTTATACTTAACATCCTTGCATTCGTTAGAGACAGTGATCTCAAAAAGAGGCTTCTTCACCATCCAGTCGAATGCCGCTATGTGACCTGATTTACCACACAGGGCTAAGAATCTGTCTTTTTTACAAGCGTTTGGCAGCCAATTTACCTGCCGTTTCGTGAATAATCAATCGCATACGGTCCATACTGTAGTTTAACATCAAAACGCTAGTTTTAAAATTCGCCTAAAGCTTATAGTATTTTACCTTAGTTGCGGAACCAATATCAACTTCTTTCAACATAGCATCTTGAGTGATTATCTCATTTTCACGTTCCTTCTCAAGATAGCTAAGTGCCATAAAGAAGAGAAATGCAACGTACCCAGGCAAAACATTGTGTAGTGCCGCTACCTGAGTGACACTTTGTTTAGCATATTTAACCTTTCGGTTGAAGGCCTCTGCCTTCTTCCTGAAGAACCTCTCGGGAAGTTTTTTCTACGAATAACCTATGGAAAAACTAGATCTGTAACATACTGTATCCATTTGAAAAGCAGTTGATAAAAAGATGACTTAAATCTATCAAGAAGTCCGCACGCCGTCCTTGAGATTTGAAAGAACCCCGAACTGCCTTCCAGTATCCAATATCTTCGAGACGAAGTTGTGCATACCGACTGGTGTCTTTGAACTCACTCCTTGTTGTTTTTATACGCTTCCAAGTTTTTAATAACTTTTAATAGGCGGTAGTCTGGTCACTCGATTGCACTAACCCTAGTCAGTTTATTAGTTATTTCAGATTCAGTTTCAGTTTGGGGAGGACAGGAGGCTTGATGGCTTATATTAGTCCTGGCAATGGTGGTCTCTCAGCTGATCCAACTTTCTTTTGAAAGAGCCGACGGATGGAGCCTCAACCACGTACTGAGGTAGTGAATTCCACTCGTTGATGATTTGATGGGAAAGTCGATAGTCAGCTGACAAGTAATTTGTTCTCGGCTTGTGAATATTTTGGAGTGTCCTCCTAAATTCTCTGTTTTGGAATACAAGAAAAATGATGGCATATTATATGCAAATTTATCACTAAGTAATTTGTAGACTTTAATCAAGTCTAGTTCTGTGATATGACAGCGAGAAAAGGTTCAGCTTGGCCAGTCGAACTTCCGAGAATCAGCTTAGTCGCCGTTCTCTGAACCTTCTACAAAAGCTCACTGTTTTTTTAGGCAGGAGCCAGCCGCTTGTATGCAGTACTCAAGTTTAGGACGTACGAACACTGTATACAAAGTCAAAAACGTTTTAGCGTCGACATGAATATAAGCTCTACGTATTGACCGTAAGGTTCTAAAACCTTTTGCGGCTATTAAACGGCAGTTTGCAGTAGTCTTTAAGTCTTGACTAACGATAACTCCGAAGTCATTATATGTCTGGACGACAGGTAGCTCAGTGTTATTCATCGTGTATGTATCCGTGCCTTGATGACCGATATGCATCACAACACACTTGGAAGTATTTATCGGCAACTGTCAGGTTTGAGACCATTCAGATAACTTCTTCAGGTCATTTTGAAGTTCTAAGTTATCACTCTTACATCGTATCGTTCTCCATGTCTTGACATCGTAAACATATAGCAAGACCGATGATGATAGGAGACAAAGAAGGAATAGCACTGGCCTCAAAACTGTACCCTGGGGCACTCCACTAAGCACAGTTTCCCAGCTAGATAACTTTGAGTTCACCTTTACTCTTTGTTGACGCCCAACTAAGAAGTCTCTTATCCACATCAATAATTTGCATCCAATTCCGACTTTCCTTAACTTATATAACAGCCAGTTGTGCGTAACTTTGTAAAAAGCTTTACTGAAATCAATGAAGGCTACGTCTACAGGTAGCTTTTGGTCCTTAAGAGCGCACCAGCTTTCACGAGCCACTAATAAGTTAGTGAGACAAGAATAACCTATTCCGAAGCCGTGCTGCTTCTCCGAGAGGATCCGGTTTTTATCGAGATACTTAAACAGCTCCTTCTGAACAATCTTTTCTAAGAATTTAACAACCATACTAGTTAGGCTAACGGGGCGGTAATTCTCAGGTTTGTGTTTCGTACCTGTTTTGAACACAGGGCTTACTATGGCGTTTTTCCAGTCTTTTGGTAAACGACGCTGCATAACGGATAGGTTAAAGCATGCACTTAAAAGGGCTTGCAATGAAGTTAGATAATTCCTTCAGTAGCCTAGGATGTAATTCATCGGGCCCCATGGATTTGCCTATGTCAAGCTTATTTAGCAGACCAAAGACATAGAGTTCTTTAATGGTCACGCTATCCAGTGTATGTATGGGGGATCTGTATACGCTGACCGGAGGTGCGCTTCTATGGTATATACGTTGCTAAAGTAGTTCGAGAACACTTGAGCCTTACCAAAGTCTTCCTCCACTAATGATGAAACAGTATTGTCTCCCCATAGAGCAGGAATATTTCCTTTTCTCCTTGTCCTTTGGTTTATATAGGAATACAAGCATTTAGGACATTCTATGGATTCCTTAACAAGTTTTTCTTCGTACAATTTTCTAGACTTACGGAAGGTCGAGGCACAAGTATTCCGAGCCTTTCAATACTGAGATTTTGACTCATCAGTCCCCAGTAACCTAAACCTATCCCACATTTTCCTTTTCTTACGGAGAAGGATACGGACCTCCCTACTAAAGCAGGGTGGGGAGTTTTTCGGCCCCTTTGGTATAGTCCAAGGGATGTGAGGTGTGGTAACTTTTAAGTACGAATTTCGAAATGCGTTCCAGGCCGTTTCAATTGAGGACTCTGGGTCTATTGTCCAATCTATTAACGATGCTGAGTGCATGATGTCTGGTATGTTTGCTTTCCAGACGTTTAGTCTGGACTGGACTGACGCGTGCTCGTGACTGGCAGTTATATGGAAGTCGAAAGTTAAAACTGCGTGATCACTTTTACCTAGGGGTCACATATGATGGAGGTTCGTAACATCATCCTCATAGTGAGTCAGATCAGTGTCCGGATCGTACCTTGTCGCTTCTTTCACATGTTGCACTAGGGCACATGTGATAACCTCATCAAATAGTTCCTACTCGAAGGAATTTTCTGGCGATTTAGTTCGCAGATTTTCCCAGTCTACCATAGGTGCATTAAAGTCCCCTAGGATTAGACATCGACCACTTTGTGACCAAGTATTGAGACTGCTCAGCAGGACCTCGTAAACCTAACAGCCTGGACTGCGATAGACCAAACCAATCAGCAGCTCTTGTCCCTTGCATTTTAAGTGAAGACTTACTAATTCACACGTCCCACTTTCATGGGATACACTGTCGATAATGGCAAATAGGATAGCATTCCAAATGAACAGAGCTACTCACACTCCTTTGCGCTTTTGTGTTCTGTCGGCCCGTACTAACGTAAAACCCTCGAAATCAAGTTCCATACTATCTATAGCCTGTGTCGGCCAGGTTTCTGTTACTGCGATTATGTCTGGCTTTGTAGAGTCGATCTGTACACTTAGTTCCGATCGCTTATTAATTAAGCTTCGTGCATTGGTGTAACAGATCTGAAGCCTGTTTAAGTGCCTTCGTGCTTCACCCAGAGTGGCTTCGGCATCATTCTCTGTCGAAGTCTTACAACCCAAAAATTTACAACTTTCAGGTCCTTTTCGGCAGCGCCAAACCTAAGATGTAGTTGTTTTTCGGCTTCCCGTCTTTTAACACGTCTGCCAACGGTAGGTCCTTTCGGATAAAGACTCCCGAACCCTTTGATTTGTGTACATTCTGTAAAATTAGGTCACGTTCGTTCAAAGATCTGAGTACTACTCTAAGCAGTCTGGAATGATTTGGTTTCGAGTTCGCTAGACTCTCTAGTCAAAGCAACAATGCAAGCATGTTCGGGATGCGATGCTCTCCTTCGAAATTCAAAATATTGCTTCAGGATTTGGTTGCATTGACACCTGAATTAATGATAGGGAATGAAGTAGTTGAGCGTGCCGATCGCTTCACTTATCTTGGAAGTCTCATCAGCCCTAGTGGTCTAGCTTTTGCTAACTTGCGTCATTTATGGCGTAGGCGAGATATCCGTCTATCAACCAAAAGACGTGTTTACTGCGCAGCAGTTCGTCCCGTCCTACTTTATGGCAGTGAAACATGGCCGATAAGAGTAGAGGATATTCGTAGGTTACTAGTATTCGATCATAGGTGTCTTCGAAACATTGCTCGTATATCCTGGGACCATCGAGTAAGTAACGCAGTTGTTAGGAAACGGGTACTAGGTAAGTATGGCAAATCAATTGATGAAGTAGTGAAACTTCATCAGTTGAGATGTCTGGGACACGTGTTACGTATGCCCAACGATCGAGTGCCTCGACCTGCGATGTTCAGTGGTATAGGAGTAGGTTGGAAGAAAGGTAGGGGCGGCCAGACCAAAACATGGCACAAGTCCATGAAGTCACTGACAAGTAGACTGAGTCATGTTGGTAGGTGTAGACTACCTGGTTGGGGACCGCGAGATGATAGCAACCGATGGTTAGAGACCCTGAATGACATGGCTCAAAATCGTTTGCAATGGCGCAGGTGCATCCACTCTTTGTGCTCTCCCAAATTCTAGTCTCCTGAATCCTCCCCTTTTTCTCTTTCCAAATTTATTTCACTGTATTATACTCTTTAAGTAACATCTCCAAACATTAATCTTTCCAATTACTGCTTATACTCTTATTACCTCTACCACTACGGGATTTGGATCGACAACTGCATCTCTGTGCTAATGTGGTGTGGCAACTCGAAATGACGTTTGTACGTACGAAGTTCTACGTTGTTACTGACTGACTGACGGACTGACTGACTGGGTTTACAGATCTTGTAATTTGAGTGAATGAGTTTATCTCAGAACAGTAGGGTATCTAGGTAACAGCACTTTTCACGTTATCAGGCAGGAGGTTGTTTGTTTGTAATGTGAAAAATAATGATTCGGAAAGTCGGATGCTAGGAATTAACCAGGTCTTCAAGAAACAAGCAGTGAACGTGTTAAATAATTGGTAATGAAGATAGTGTGCGACGACTAGAGTATTACAGTGTAAGTCATCAATGTTGATGATCTACGTCGAATGATCAGAGGGTTTACTGAACTCAGACGGGAATGGTGTGACTAATCAAGTGACTTCGAAATCACACCTCGCAGTCAGCATCTAACGTGGGTTGCCCCTTCGACCTATTAAAGTACGATGGCCGCTTTGAAAACCGTATAATACAAAGAAGGTTATTACGGAAGTATATTAATAAGAATGAATACACAGAAGTTGGTAGGATCACCACTGAATGGGCCAGCCCATGCCACATGATTAGCTGATGCCCATTGGTTGCCCTTGACCTTGTCAGTGGTTGATGGTCTGTTCGATATTCAGTTACCCAACAGCCGGATGACTTGACTAGGGCTTAATGACATTCCACTGGCCCTACAAAAGTAAAAGGGAAGCAGAGTTAACATTAAGCGATGAAGGAATGTGTTTATAAGATGTGATAATGATAACAGTAAATAGTTTAGGTGATAT